CTTGCTTACGTGTTGGTTTATCTGATTTACGCGATGAAAAAAATCACTTCTCACGTGCAGCCAGTTCTATTTGGAAAAAACCGTCAAGTTTAGATTACGCTCTTGTCACAGAAAAAAGACGCGCGAATGCCCAAACTTAGCCCTGGATGGCTATTAACGTGGGAAACCGTTGAAATACAGGGTACCATAGACTTCCGCTGAAATTTGTATGTCCGACGCTCAGCATATCCATGACTACTTGGGACAGCCGGTTTCGTCTCGTTACTCCCAACTGATATTCAGACATATGCACAGAGGCCGACTTTCCTGTTTGACCAAAGTGCATGCCATCACAGATGTCGTAGGACATCTTGTAGGCGAATTATTTCTTGCACCAACCGCCAGCCACATCCCTAGGGCGTACACTCCAGGTGTGTACTGTAGTCTTCGGCTTGTAGGCCAGTCGTTGTTGACATTTCTCCAAATGTCTCTTAACAAACTCATACAAATTATTACTGACAAAGACAAGGGGGACTGGAATGGCCATTTCTAACTTATTGGCCGTCGTCAGCCAGCCATACCCAACCCCGAGGTGTGGAACACCTGGGACTCGAACTCGCGACCTGTTATTTAGAAGTCCAACACCTCTAACCACTGAGCCACGGCCCCGTTGTCCTGTCGGTTTCGATCGGGAATATACAATGGTAGAGGGACGCTCACCGATCAGTGGTTAAAGGCGTTGGACTTCTAACTAACAGGTCGCGAGTTCGAGCCCCAGGTGTTCCCCACCTCGGGGTTGGGCATGACTGATGACGGCTATTAAGTCAGAAATGGCCATTCCAGTCTCCCCCGTCATTGTCGATAATACCATTCTGCCTATATCGTGCGTCGTTGTACGGCTGCTGTTTGGGCTCAAGAGAGACCTCGTAAGGTACAACGAGACGAGTGAGTTCCGTTAGAATGTTTGGTGAGCGCCCCTCTGTCATCATACATATTCATGTTGTAAGGAAGGGCTCACCACGCTACTGCTTATGGTGACCACATTTCAATACATACCGGCGTGATGTCGGTATGTTAACCTGATCTTAGGATGTTCACTAACATTAAAAGTCCTGCTTATATCCCAAAGCGTTAATCGTAACTTCCATTATTACATATTGTGCAGGCCTTTCCACGCTTATTACCCTTTTATACAAGCCGACTATTTGTTCGTTCCCTCTCTGTTTGCGTCTCACTCCGTGTTCTGTTTTTTTTCTCTCTATCTCTGTCTGCAAGATGGACCCGTCCGGCCAGCATGTAGCTTTACAGGGTGGGCTGTTCTATCTTTTTGGGATCATCTTCTTTAAAATGGACGGCCGCATTCCCCTGGCCCATGCAATCTGGCACTGCTTCGTCGCCTCAGGCGCCTACACCCACTTCGTGGCAGTTGATACCTACCTTCTCACTTAGTCAACATCCTCCCGTGGACGATCTCCCCGGCGTGATAGTCAACAGCCCCCTAGGACAAACATACAGAAGAATAGAGAGCGGAGGAAAAAATAGAAAAAATTTCGCACTTTATCACACTGTTGGTTGTTTGGGCCCGTCAGCTAGCGTCGTGTCATTTTGTGAATATACTAAAATATGCCTACTCTCCCATAGTAAGTAGGTCAATGTGTTTGAATCTTGTTTTATCTGAACGTCAAAGACTCGACTCCATCGAATGCATGACGTGTTCGTCCGACTTTCGTCTTCCGTCTGCGCCTCTGTCATAACTATCTTATTTCGGTGTCTTTCACTATCAGACAATGTTTGTCTTATCGAAGAACTAGCATTTACCCTGCTCTGAACCTGGAACCGATCGATCACTAACGCCTGCAGCTCTCCAACCCGTCTCCCCAAAATAACGGGAGCATGTTTTTCGCAGATATACCCGCGCTTAGCGATATTGTCATCTTGCAATGAAACTGGCCTGGGAAACTTTATCATTCATACACAATCTCAAGAGAACAGCTGTTCCGACTAGAACAGCCCCTTGTGGTCTCGCTACAAACGTTTTCTGACAGAATTAATTTGTGGCAGTTCGCTGTCACGGTCGTCAGATCAGACGCCTACTCGAATTACCTTCGATCGGCCTAGCACACCTGTCGACCACTGGTTTTGCGCGCGTGACTCAGTCTTCAGCCACCCAATGCCGATCGATATTTCTGTTTTCATCAATTGGTCGAAGCTACAGACGCTGGCTCATACACTCGTGCCGGAGCTTACTCGGCTCGAGGGGACATTTTTTTTCCTCTGCCTGTGCAGCCGTGTGTACGTTATCGCCTGCTTCAATAAAGTTTGTCCAACCACCTCTGATTCCCTGACTTTTGATTTGGAAAATCTTCGCTTTGTCAATCGTAACACTGCGACAAATGCCCTATTGTGCGTAATTGGCATTAGACTAGTCTCTCACAAACGCTTATAGCCCGTGGTCTTGTAAGTTAAATTTATGAACCTACCGCGGCGAGATCCAGGCTGTTGTGATCACACATGTGGACGACCACGAACGAGCCCACCAAAACCGATGCTGGCGTCTTAACCATCGTTTGTCATCTGTCTTCACGAAGAGTACTACTAAGATCTGTTGCCCAGGTTTCCTTGTTGGCGTACAGTTTGCCAAACTAGCTTAAATTAACTTCATTTTAATGTTGGGTCGCTCTGCAGTCACTCGATCAGACTTTGCACACCCCTTCATGGAAAAAAGTCGAATATGGGTAGAATCCGGTTGCCTTGTTTTGTGAAAACAGTCTCCCAGAAGAGCGGCAAGTTCTGCTGAATAGTATCGACAGAGATGCCGAGATAGCTACTATTCTGACCTTATTCCAATTCTGTCCAGCAAGCGAATTGGGGCCCACAGAAGTTCTAAGGACTTGCTGATTAAAAGGCATTGATTGGAACCGGATTCGACATTATTGATAACTAATCAGTTATCCGTCGTTGCCAGACCACCGCCGTCTGTCAGGGATCTGATTTGGGATATGATATACAAGTTTAAGGCGAATAAGGTCCAGGAAGGTTCTGAAAAATGCAACTGAGTACCCACCTAATCGTCCACAGAAACTTTAAGTGTCGTCACTATAGGGTATCCTTTACGATAAAACATTGAGCGGGGGCCTGGCTCTAGGACAATCAAGAAGAATTAAATGGGATTTGGAGGCAGATTTAATTTGTACATGGTGTCACCTAAACTAAGACCGAGGCATTTGCGGAGTGCAAAACACCAACCTAAGTCAGTCATATTTGGAAAAACGGAAGGCTTCATCTTTGCCTGGTCGTACTGCTGTTTATTAGTATTCAACCGAGATAAAATCGCTGCATAAATGTGGAAGGCACCGAGGAATAAGCTATTGGGAATGTGCGTATTTTCGCCACTGCGACACCGGGATCCTGGTTTTTTGATCCCTTACGTCCAGAAGGCTTTCATTTTTTAACAAACGGAACGATTCAGGAGCCGTCCAGTGTAACTACTATGACAGTTCGACAGTCGAGTCCGACGATGTCCACCGTGTGCTACACAGCAAGGTGCAGCAGGGACGATGACTTGTGCATGAGTTAGCTTGTAGTAATAGTAGACTTGCACAGCATCTACCACATTCCTTCTCACTCCCCACGTGGACCCGGGGTCAAGACAGAGTCAAGAAGACTGGAGACGGGGGAGGGAGCAGGTGGCTGGCGCGGCGGGACCCGCACCTAGGCGTGCCAACACACCCCCTGGTCTACAATATACACTTAACCAACGTCAACAACACCCCAACAGGGGTCAGAAGGACGAGGATGACCGGGCAGCCATGGCCACCGGCGAGAGCGCAAGCGCAGCTATCGGCAGGGAACCAGGTGACAGGAAACTGCCAGCGCATACCAGGCCGCGAGGGCCATTGTTTGCTGATACTGGCATAGCATACGCTACAATACTATGATGGCAATATCTGGCCCAATCGAGGTCCGCCTAAGACGTGGGCCTTCACGCTGCGTCAATCACTGACAGCGTCGGATAGTCGACTGGCGCATGAGATGAAGTGGGAGTGAAGTCAACCTTAGGAAATCAACATCATAACTAATCTGACAAGGCACTGAGTTAGGGCTCGGGAGGTTGCTAAGTGACGGTTTAACTTCCCAAGACTGCGAGTCAGGCTTCAATGCCTTTCGCTTGATGTGGCCTTCATGGCACTCTCTCACTCATGTGCGATCCAGACCGCCCCCACAGAAGTCTGGCACGCGTGAAACAGGAATCAGACCGTTTGTCGCACGCGTAGATGGGCTGTTTAACTTTGTCCGCCACCGCGTCCACTTCCAGTCGCCTTGACTCTCTCGGCATGTGTGCCAATTAGATTAAATATCAAGTAAGCCGGCGAATCCGAGTCCAGACTTCTGATTCACCAACACCCTTCTGCTGATGCCAGAAATAGCCAGTCCAGCGTCTCAGTCCTCATCAGTAAAACTTCGCGATCACTGACCGCTAGTTGCTATGCGACCGGACTCTCCGTGGAAGAACGAAGGCCCCTTCTTCAGGACACACCGGCGAACGACACCTCTCCCATGATCTTTGCCCCGTCTGACTAATTCAAATGTCAAAGTGCTTGTACAAATCAGGGAGCTCTTTGCCTTTGAAAACGCTCAGCGGTCCCGTCGTTGAGCACGGTCGTTTCGACCTACTGATGACCTCATTTGTCTCCAAAAGACAACATTCAAGCCCATCCTTTCCACCATCAAACCTAGACGAATAAACATTAACTGATACTATCAGATGAGGCCTTTCCTGTGTGTGAGAGTTACACGTCATCCAGTCGCAGCCTAAAGCAGAATCCATCACAAATAAGACTTTGGTACATGACGCCCTCTCAAGGACGCTGACGGTGATGGTGTTGGAGCCACAAATGTAACATTCACATGCCTCTGCGAAGTTAGGACTGTTTACACCGGCCTCTCCTGTGCCCAACCAGTATAAAAATCTCCATCTCCGGCACCAACAGGCATCCACCTTGCCTTGTCGACCCCTCATCATGTTTGCTTGCCTCTTCAGCTTCTCGCTAGTTGGTCTCTTATTGGCTCAGGCGAGAGACCTCCAACCGGGGGAGAGCGAGATCGTCCTGAGCTCCAACGCATCCTCCGTTCTCCAGCCCGCCTGCTTCTGTCCACCTCCACCGATCTGCCAGTGCAGGACTTGCGGAGACTGCATGTGTTACTGCCCCATCCCCTGGTCCCTGGTTCTGGCTGCCCAGGGCCACAACGAGCAGAAACCCCAAGTACCCCGATTCCTACCTGATTATGCTGATGATGGTGGTGGTAGTGATGGGGAGGAGGATGGCTTCATGATGATGATGGCGTAACAGGAAGAAACAGAAGGAGAAGGCTTTACACCCGCCCCCCCTCCACCCCGCCCAGATGAGTCCTAGCTGCCCTCTTGCATTGGCTGTCTTGCAATAAACTAGTATTCTGACCAGGTGGCTTCTTTGATGAAGGTTTCCCGGGAGCACGGGAAGGGGAATAGACATGTCGTCGACCGAACGCGGAGCAGGGAGTGTAAGTGCTGAAAAAAGCACAGGTTTATGGGAGAGACGGATGTGGATGACATTTGCTCGCACACGTATCCGGAAGATCGCCTGCACGGGTGTAACTAAGTCCTTATGTTTGATTATTTTATTTCAGATGCGCTGTTATGCAGTCGAGACCTCACAGATAAATGTCTGGGTATAAACTGAGGTTTCCAGGGAGAGATCGAAGAAGTTCAGGGCGGGATCTTATTTCTTAGCCGTACCTGTCAGGGGTCATGGGATGGGGTTAGGGTTAAACCCCCCTATTACCACTGGTCCCGTACGACAGGCAGCTGGGGCTTGTCTACTGCAGGTACTGCTACGGAATGAGGTCCGACCAGAGAAAGGAGGTAACCTATGAATCATGTAATGGCAATTAGGAGGGAAAATGGATTGGACACGAGAATACGGACACCCCCTCGTAGTATAGGTGGCCTTGTTCCGAATTCCGAGAGAGGAAGGGGGTGACGGGAATAGCAATCCCCTGGAATTTGGCGCGAGGTTACCTGCGGTACCTGGGAGTTCATGTTCCCGAGTACGGCTAGAAAGATGTTTGCAACTACTAGCACTGATCCCGTACGACAGGCAGGTGGGGCTTGTCTACTGCAGGTACGGCTACAAAATAAGATCCGACCAAGTTTAGCAGAGGGTGATGTACAACGGTCAGGGCTGCTTTACCCGTCCGATCGGTTTAAACAAGTTTTGGCGGTGTAGTTGGCGTGGCGATATCGACAGAACCCAGTTGACCGCTTGCGCTACGCATGACTCAGCCCTCGGCAAAAGAATGACCACAGCCCCCTCCCCCCGCCAGATGGGTCATGTGTATATTCAAACAACAACAATAAACCGAAAACACACACATCCTGGTTGGTCAAAGCCAAAACTGAAATATGACCAGGCTGAATACACAATTCTTCTTTCGCAGAGGTGACATTCCTAGACTTTGCCACCTCCCCCCCCCCCCCCAACCGCCTTACCCAGTCCCACAGGAGACTCAGTCGACTGCGCTGCGGGGAACCACTATCGATTCCGCCGACTCCTTGTTTAATTCTCAGCCGCAACCTATTAAAAGGGAATGCAGTCAACCCCGTGGGCACAGATTTCTGCCCTTGATCGCGGTCATTCCCCACGCTACAGCTTTTTTCGGTTTTCTCTCCGGATGCTCAATTCGTGCTGTAGACCTGGACCGATAGTGTCTATAAATCGGTAGTGAATGCAATCAATATTGCTAATCCGACTTACAGGGAGCTACGGATATGGCGTTCGGATCTGTGGGTTTAGCAAATAACCTCTCTTGTGGGGAGCTTTAACGGATTCAATAGAAGACGCATTGGCAAATAATCATTTCCAGGGCAAAAGTCCAGCCGACTTCCTCGCAGCACGGTTGAAAGTACGTAAAGCTACCATGACGTTTGCCGACCTCTCGGTTTTGGAAGAAATTTCATACATGCTTCCAAGCTGTCCACGGGGAATGGACAGTAAGTCAGCAACTGGCTACTAACTAAACTGCCGAGACGGACAGGTTATCTCCCGGGGTCAACCATTACGCAGGACCGGTTTCGACAAACGTTATGTTCTTTGGCAAAAGATCTTAGTTAGATGCTAGCACGCCAAACATACGCACACTGGGATCGTACACCGAGCACTTTTGCGCGGACATTTCCTCAGGACGGAGATGAGCATCACTCATTCGTTGCCTTCTCAGACATCCATTTTCTCGAGACCACACCTAATTCTAACACAGTTGTAATTGTTATTCGTTCAAGAGGAAACTGTTCGCATAGTTACCATTATGAAGCCTGTCCGACTAAGACGATGCTTGTCGTGGGGTCGAAACTCCCGACCATATCTAAGTAATGTCCACTCGATAAGTGAATATAAAGGCTCTGATTCTAACCACCCAGCGATCCATTGTGGGGCGGGATGTACGGTGCAAATCCATTTCAGATCGGCTTTCTAGGTGGAAACACAATTTATCTGCTAAATTTCGAAAAAGAAGAAGAAGAAGAAGAAGAAGAAGAAGAAAGAAAGAAAGAAGGGGGAGGAGGGGCGGCGGCCATTCCCAACGAAGAAACCGTCCCAGCCAACCCACCGAAAGACGGCAGCAATTCTCCCACAAACAGGACACCGCCTTTATCCTTGTAAGCCCCGGGCGATGTCCACTACTAAAATCTGTGAAGTGACCAATGAGCTGCAAAGGTGCCGCTGTGAACACGTTACTGACATGAATGAAATCTAATATAATGAAGACTTTACAGGGATGTCCGCAAGTAAAACAGCGCATTAAATAAAAAGTCAACGAGCCGCGAGTTGCTGGAGGAAAGAAGGCTGCCAATCGTGGGTAGGAGAATAGAAACAGCCAAAATAAGAATAAAAAGTGATCCTGTGCGGAGGGCTACTAGGTCAAAACAGAACTAGGTAGAAACAGCGAACGTTTTGCCAACGCTTGCGTGTGGAAGTGGTAGATTAAAACGGTCCTGCCGCTTTCTGATTGTCGTGCCGTAAAAGCGTCAGGGGGTAACGACGCATAATACAAATTGAATAAATAAGAGCTACTTATAACAAGTAAGTACGTCTTTGTTTTTCATAACCGTGGAAACGAGGGCCTTGTAGACTTCGAAGAAGGTGAACGTGGCGGCAGTGCTCACTCCAGCCTTTAGCATGGACGGTAGCCAGCCCTTAAAGAGGCCCAAAAAGCCCTCAGTGCGCCAGATGTGGAGCAAGGCGAAGCCCGTTATGAATTTGTAGGAGGCTGATTCATGGCCAGTAAGGGTTGCCCTCGTCACGTTTGGCAGTTTTCCAAAGGGCTTGCGAGCCTCCTCAAAACCCACAATCTGGAAACGTTTTTTCACGACGTCCAAGGGGTAGATGGCTGTCTTTGAGACGCAGCCAGCTAAAGCGCCGGCTGCGGGGGTCAGCAGCGTCAACCAGGGCCCTGAATCTGCAAGAAAATGAGGCACGAAAAGATGAATATAGGAGTGCGAAGTGTGTGCCAGAAGTTGACGGGAACTCACTCATTTCTGAGTGACTATATGTCGCGCCCAAGTGAGGAACACAGAACAGTTTCGTTTACTCGAGGAGGAGCTAGAAGGAATAGGAATGCACAGATGTTAGCGCCTGTCGACCGCAAAAGGGAGAGTTAAATATTGCAAACGACAAACCACCAGGCGCTGAGTTAAACTGGAGGCCCCACTGTTCGACAGACATTTGTGCTCGAAGAAACAGACAACCGCACTAAACACTCTCTAAAAAAATGTGACGTCAGCCTGCTTTTCGGCCGTTTGGACTATGGACCGCAGTTTCAGGGTCAAACGGCAATGCACGTGTTCCATCCACAACCAGCCTCTGCGTGATGGACAGCACGTTCGATGTGCAGACGATCCTGTGCTACTGCAGACAGATGTCGTCTCGCAAGGGGCGCTGCTTAGTCTGTCAAGATAATTTATTTATGTTCGAACGCACACTTATGAAGTACGTTGAGAAGATAATAAAGGACTGGGCTCCGAAATTCCCTTAAAAAACATGAATGACGACTGCAGATCTTTCGCGTGAGTCGGTGCCTGAGAAATGAAATAGAGAACTTCGGACAACGGGTTTACTGACCTGACGTTTCGGATTCTCACTCGAACCCATCATCAAAGACAGTGTCCGATAAGGGCAGTGGATTGTCCAGCTGCCAACTCTATTGCAATATTTATAGGATGTAGTTGCTAGGCCGCTACCTGTCTATCGCAGTTGGCAGCTCCGAAGTGCATCACAGTTCGACTGGCCAGGTGTTGAAGTATGCCGTTGCTATGCCCCTGCATGCCGGCCAAGATTATCGGTTCCCACGCTAATCGCACGCCGCCGAGTGGCTGACTACCGGATTTCGTCATCCGTGTGGACTCTTGGGTGTCTCTGATGATGGATTCGAGTGAGAACTCGAAGCGTTTGGCTAACAAAGCACTTGTTCCAGCGATCGTGTTTCCTTCTCCGAGACTACTTCCTGGAACTCGCCTCTTCGCTTCTATTAACAAATGGGTTTACTATTATACTGACGAAAATAAATCACACAGGCGTGGGAGTCGCTCACCGAATGAGTTGAGGCAAGGAACATGACTGGCACGTCGCGTCCTGGAGTTCAATCTCGATAGCCCGCAGGACGGAATAACAAAATGGATGTCCATAAGGGGATTAAGGAGACTTTGATGGCATGTTAGTCGTATAGGCACAAAAACGGCTAATTAAACCGCTTGCAGCTCCCGCGGTTATTACTTCCCATGAAACTTTCGGCGTCATCGAATCTGATGCTGTGGTTAAATTCCATCGAGGGGGAGGGGGGGGGTTGGGGCAACGACTCTGGATTTGGAGTCCTTCCTTCATACCGCTGATATTTGTCCAACCACCGGCGTCAGAAGTAATCTCCCAGTTTCGCCGAAGTAGTTTTCTGAGCTAGGAAGTTCACCAGGCTCTCCAAACGACTCGGGGCGTTTCTTGCCGTGTCAGAGAGTTTTTGGGCCTCATTACACAGTGCCCTATGGTTAATTCCATTCTGGACGCAAATTCAAATTCGGAAAGCGTGTGAGAGCAGCTGTTGGCTCTCCTAGGCTCTTCCAGCGTAGGAAACCGCTCACCAGAAACAGGGTGTTACATGACTTGGCCTCGTCTTTGAATGCAGCGATTGAAGTGGCTGCGCGAATAGCCATTGGCTCAGCGCATTCGTTCAAGGCAAGCTTGGCTTCTTGGCCGCTGCAATGAATCTTAAGGTGCAAACAAAATGCACTTAGGCAAATGTGTTTGTGGATGATTGGGCGGTGGTCCCCAAAAGGGTGGCGTAGCTGGCACGCTGGGCTGCTGTGTGACACACCGGCTAGTGGCATGCGTTTGTCGGTCTAAGCTACAGTCGCACATGCGTGGGGCCAGTCGTGCAGCCGCGGCGGCCGACATTCGATACAGTCAACATACTAATTCCTTCCAGCCAGCACGCAGCCCTAACCTTTTATCGGACGGGTTTTGGTGGTGGTGGTGGTGGTGGTGGTGGTGGTGGTGGTGGTGGTGGTGGTGATTGTCATAATTGTTCTTACCGTAAGATGCAGGGGTGTCGGAAGTGGAAGCATTGCCAGGTTTGAAAGTGCGTTTTAGGCCCTCGTAAATGCCGAAGCTGAGAGCCGTCTGGGGTACAATGAGGAGAAGGGTGGGCGTCAGACCACGCCAAAAGGCTAGAAAACCCTCCTCCCTGAGGATGCATCTTGCTCCGTGAAGAAGACCCTGGTAAACCTGGTGAGGGAAAAAAACAATCCGGCCAATAGAAGGCATTAAGGACAATCGCGGCAAATGGGCTATGGTTGTAAACCGTCTGTGAATGTGATTGGGAGAAAACCGGTCCAAATCTCAGCATGACATCCGTGAGAATTCTGGTTGCAACGGACACTGCACCCATACATCGGCCACAGTAGTGTCCAGCAGGATTATCGTCTGAAGAAGAAGAAGAAGATAGGCTCACCGGAACAGGTTTATTTAGATGCTGACGTTTCGAAGAGCTTGGTCGGCCTCCATTGTCAAAGCTTAAAATGCACCTAATCGACCAGAAATCCCAGGTGGCATGTCACGTTGGTCGGCCTCGTGCTGATCGATTTTGTTTTCTCTCCTCTTGCTGCCGCGGCCTATCGGGGATGTTTGATGGGCCCTTTGTCTGCGTGCCTAGTGAGTCACCGCTTCGTCGAGTAGTCGGGCTGGTGGTTCTTGTTCTTCCTCACCCAGTAGACTCGCCATCGGGCTGTCTCCGTATGGCCTTCTTTAGCCCGGTGTGGTTGTTTGGTCCTGAGCTCTACGACTGTGATGACGTAGGACTTTGTAAGCTGCAAGAAGGTCCAGATGCCTGTTGATAGAGTGGGCATCGGAGAACCACGCCTCGAGATTTAGCCGTTTTGCTTTTGTGTTGCCTTGGCCTAAGATGGTAGCTCTCTGGATGTCAAAAGTACGCCCTGTTTCTCCAATGTGCGTTGCTAGTTCAGAGTTTGGATCTAGCCTCCGAGTGGCCGATTTATACTCTTGTAGGCGAGTCTGCAACGTCCGCCCAGTTTCTTACATTTGGATCTCTCAAATTTGCCAATCTGAAACGGATTATCTTTCCTAATGGTTGGCTATACTCTGGAGGCGCAAAATGCAGTATGCAGCCAAACTGACGAAACGCGACGACTGCAATCCCGTAGGGGATACGGCCTCGAAAATTGAATTAGACTGCCTATGTTGCCTGGACGACTCGCTGTGAGGTAGCCCAGACCCCGACGACCAGGTGTCTCGCGGTCAACCAACTTTTAGGCCCGCAACATCCATGTTCAGCACGGCCAACTTGACGAGTATGCCGAGGACCTGTGCGACCTCCTCATTCACTGTCCTCCTCTTTTTACGGTGAAGGAGGCTCTAGTAAAGCGAGTTGCAATAACGAGCGCAAGGACACAGAATTCTCACTCGGTAATGATAGGATACCATAACGGGTGCAGAGACAGATGTAACGGTTTGTTGGCGAGCACAATTCGGACACCTTAATCATCCGCTAGCTTCCCTTGCAACGCCCTGAAGTTCGGACGGTCTTGACAGTTTCACAAGGCGGCGTCCATAAAGTGACAGAGCTTGCCGACAGATTCGTGTCACCTTAAACTGCCGAGACTCAGTCCACCAACCACACAGTCAGTCCAACTCCTCCTGCGCGGCACTGAGTCTTCGCACAGCGGTAAAGCTGAGCCAGAAACCTCACACGCTCCCGAAAACTTTGCCACCGGCACTCCGAGTTCGCATGCAACGTCGTCATCGGTAATGCCACAGGAAGCCAGCCATCAGAGCAGTTATCGAGGATGGGCCTCAGGCTCGTTAGGGTCAGAGCTCGCCTCCAGTAGGTCATCTGTGTGGGCGTAGACGAAATCGAAGCATCGAGGATTGGTGGACCGCCCTGCGGTTGAACACAGTGAGGGATTGTTATGGATGAACAATGAGTGGAATCGGAGGATGGCATAGTAAACAGCATCTGACTGCCACCGACGTGCGATGACCACCATCCTTCTAAACAGTACTATCCTTATAAGTCATGGTATCTTTGAGCGAACCATGCAAGTTGACTTATCCTCTATCAGTTCAGATCTGATGGCAAAAGGCAGTAACTGAGAATCAGGCAATCTGTTTTGCATGGCAATCTGTTTTTAACATGGCTGAAATTCTTTGAAGTTGCTGAGTGTTCTGAGCCCTGCGTCTGCAGGACCAACTTGACAATGGGTTCAACTCTGCTCGGCAATCCGTCGCCGAAGGCTATGATGTAATGGGACAACAACATGCAGCTGGCTGAATCAGTCTAAGTGCAATCAGGAAGTTCGCTTGATGGCCTTAAAATCGAGTTGAGGGCATTTTCGCGCTTCTTTCACTAACTGTTATACAGACAAGTTTGATTATGCGCAGCCGCCATCTATCTGACTTTGATGGCAGAGCGGTTAACTAAAAACCCGGCTCAACACATTTCAGTAGTGCGATTATGCAATTGACGGCTTGGATCACTGCAGTTACCAGCGGCGACTAGAGGCGAAAACGAGGTTTGGCCCGGGAACCAAAAAACGCAGCTCTGCGCGTCTCGCACTTGTTAACAATACCGACGTCACAACTTTCGGACGGCTCTCCGACACGATCGACTCCGGCCTCCTGAGAATACTTCAAGCCGCCAGTCGGTGGGAAGAGTCATCGACTTACCGCCGATCTCTGGTCCACTGCCGATCGAAGTCCTCCGTCATCACAATCTTAGAGCTCAGGACCAAACAACCACGCCGGACTTAAGGCCGATGTACGGGTGCAGTGTACGTTGCAACTAGAATTCTCATGCTGAGATTTGGACCGGTTTTCTCCCATTCATTTCCCAGGCACTTCTCTCACCTAACCAGTCAGGCAGATCCAATATACACAGCCCCCGCCACATCCACATCCAAGGTCCTTCTAAATCATCCCAGTCACAGCGTCTTGGTCCGGATCGTTTGAAGATCGACAAGGCGGAGTTTGAGCACAAGCTCGAGATAGGCATCATGCGATAACTACTGGACACCGCGACACCAACTTCTCTCAACAAAGATGGCTGACAACTACCAGACACTGGACTCGTTGCAAAGTGAGTTTGGGCTCACTCCCGAATGACAATCAAAGTCAGTGAAGAGCACAAAAACGCCGTCACCAAGTCAATTTAGTTATCAGCTTACACGTATCCCCTTGACTCGAGAAGTAACACCCAAACGGTACATCAATCCTCGGCGCCTCGATTTCGTCTACGCCTACTGGAGGCGAGCTCTGACCCTAACGAACCTGAAGCCCATGTTAGATAACTGCTCGGATGGCTGGCTTCCTATGGCGTTACCGATGACGACGTTGCATGTGAACTCGGAGTGCAGGTGGCAAAGTTTTCGAGGGCGTGAGAGGTTTCTGGCTCAACTTTACCAATGTGCAAAGACCCAGTGCCCCGCAATCAGATTGAGGTAGATGGAAGGAACCGACGGACAAGACCTTCCGTGAGGACGGTCATAGAAGCCGTCTTTCTACCCCTTTTTAACGTCGACGGTGTGAGTATTATAGACAGTAATTATACATAATTCGGTATATGGATGCGACGGAGAGACACGGGCTCCCAGGCCGTGAACAGAGCAAACACAAAGCCATGTCTGTCAAAGTGTCTGACACGCCGTCGTAACTGCGGCACTGGAAACCGGAGCAGGGCTCACAGAAGAATGTGGCGAAGTGATTCAACAACAAAGAGAGGGGAAAGAGAACATACCTTTCTGCAACCCTGGCCGGCCAGACGGGTTCGAAACACATCAAGCGGTTGGCAAATAACACTTGAGACGACACCGGCACAGCTACCAAAAGCCAGATCCCTGGAGGTTGAAGGAACGCTGTGCAGATAGCGGGCCGACAGCTCTGAGAACTTGTGAAAGCAGTAGAACTGGGGAGAAAGCGACAATAAGGCAACGATTAACGAGCGGAAAACGCGGAGGCAAAAGAAAATCTGCTATTTATCTTGCCTTGCCACTGATTGGCGCATTCGAGACACCTTTTGACGGATCAACACGGCTAAAGGAAAACTGTCTGATTGGAGTAGTGCGCTGAAATGGGGTCGGAGACGAGGTTTTTCTAACAGTAACTGCCACAACAACACGCCAACAGGCCTGCACAGCGCTTACGCAGAAGGAAAACAAGCTCAAGCAGGAGTAAAAAACGAAAAGATTTACCGACCTTGCTGCAACCTTACGCCAGACTGGAAGACAAGACGCCTGACCCCTAACTAAAGTGAAGTCACTGGGTAATAACTAGATTTACCAGATCGATGTCAGAGGGTGCGCAATTTGCCGCCTGACTGCCAGGTCATCTTGCGTGTGCATTTGTATGTGTTTTATGGGTAGGACCTCTCAGTCGACGACTGTTTGTTTATCCAGCCTTGAAGGGTGGCGACCTAGGTAAATTCAGGGCCATGCATCACCCTTCTGGGCCCAAAGGTATGTAAGTGTCTGCTACGACAGAATTAGCAAACCATGGCCCTCGCAGCCTGATATGCACCGGAAGTTCTCTGACACCTGGTTCCCTGCCCGTAAATGCGCCTGCGCTTCCGTCGGGTAAACAGGTCGTGGGATGACTGCCCAGTCATCCTCCTCCTTCTGGCCCGTCGTGTTGTTGTTGTTGTTATTTTTGGTTAAAATCCTGGTCGGTTTTTGTGTGGACCAGGGGATGTGGAGTGGAGCACCAAGGCGCCGGCTCGACCGCGCTACCCACCTGCGCCCTCCCCCGCCTCCGAGGTTCTGGACTCTGTCTTGACACCGGGCTCAGGTGGAGGAGGAGGAGGAGGAGGAGGAGGAGGAGGAGAGGGCGGTGGAGGCTGCACAAGTCTACACTCCCTATAAGCTAATTCGCGCGTAAGTGACCGTTCTTGTCCTCACCTTGTTGTGGAGCACACGGCGGACTTCGTCGGACACGACGGTCGAGCTGTCAAAACCAATTAAACGAAGAACCAACCAGTGGAGGTAATAATTTCATAGAGGCGAATGGCAGAAAGTCGCCTTCACTGGCGCACTCCAGGTGGACATTTAGTCTGGACTTGACTTCCAGCGTCCGAATCGAAGATGTCTCAAAGGGCGTGTACGCACTTTCAACATAAGACGTGTTATAATCCGCACGTTATGCAAAACACAGCTACGCCTGGTATTGCGAACGGTGGGGAACACAAAATGCACATAGCCACAAAAAATCAAACGTGCATAAATTAGGTGGAGGTTTTTAGGTTACTGACGCTCTCAATTACCACCATCAGCAGCAGTTACACATCAATGACAACGTTCAGAAATAGTACGACAGGCAGTTCAAATTCCTCTAAGCAGAAATGGTCTTGATAATGGCACGAACAGCACCTCCCCATGCGCAGGAATAGGTCTGGTAGGCTCAGACCATCCTTTTTTTCCGGCGACGATGAGCATAGGCCTGAGAAATGCATTTATTTCTTGATGGGCAATCCTGAGCTGACGTCTTCGTCGTCTTCGAGTGGGCATGGACGACGGATTAAGAGTGGCACCAAAGCCCAAATCATTATGGTCGTCAATCTGGGATGGTCTGATAGATCCTTGAGATAAAGTCGGGTTACCGTCCTCTGACGAAGGTAGCTAAGTCTCAGGCTTTCGCTCGTCTCCCTATGGCATAGCTTAAACAGCGCAGGAGGACAGATCAGGCAGATGAACGAATTGTGGTAGATTGAATATCGTTTCAGGAGGGGGAATACCGAGAACAGTGCTGATTTGGACACCCAGGTCGTCCGCATTCTGTCCGTTTGGCCAAGAAACGGCTGTAACTTCTTGACAACTCGGTTTCAAAATATGACCAAAACGTTTACTAGCTAAAAGTTCCAACACGTGTTTCACCGATTTTGTGTGGTTTCCTGATGCAGCAATGCGGGGTTTGGCTCACCAATGGGCCCCTCAACGACTCAAGGTGGCATCCAGTATAATTGCAGACCTAAATTTCAACCTACAAATTCTGCAACACTGGTGAACTGAACTGCTCGCAGGTTACGTCGGACAGTTTTCGAACGTTGGTGAGAAGACTGACTGAGCCCAACAGCTGTTTTGGAGTGCGATGAGATAAACATACGCGAAGATGGACCTCGTCGTTCGCGAGGGCTAAACTGTCACATGTTGGGCGAGGGGTTATAGACAATGAAAACGGCTTAAGTCGCCTTGATCTCTGACATACAATTCGAAGTTACTCCAAGTGGAATTAGAAATCGTCGCTCCTTCAGGCTGACGACCCGTAAGCGAGTGGGGTGCTGTCTCTCGAGCTGAGGTTAAGCCAGAAGGTCAGTCAGCCGGGGTTCTAGTAAAAATTCAACATCACCAGACAACAAACATTCCTATCCGCCAGAAATCGGATGACTGAATTATTTTCTAAGTCCTGCCGGGAGGAGAAATTGATAAGAGAATCTAAGATGTTATCTTGTTGCTGTCCATTCCAGAAAAGTGCCCATCAAGACCTTAGGAAATGAATCACGTTAGAATGCTAGTTCGTATGGAGTAATAGCTTGTTGTTTTGTCGTGTGAGGCCTTCCAATGATGCACTTCACAAAATTACGTCAGCTGACAGTCCCATTATTTTAAAAGTGAATTCGTCATAGTAAGCGTCCAACGTTTCGTGCGTCTCAGTCTCTTATAAGCAGGAAAAGAAACTTCTTCCAACAAGTTCTTCCGACTTCCCCGAATTAAACGGAATGTGAAAATACCATCAGTTTTGCATGTCTACTGTGACCAATCCTGCAGAGGCGCAAATTTCAACAACAAAACGGGATAAGAATTAAAAGTGCGCACATCTTTTAGAGAAAATTAAATTTAATGGTACGTCTAAAATACTAGATTCTTCTAATTTCAGGGTCAATTAGTACATAAATAGGACTCCGGCTTGGTTTCCACTAAGAAATTGAGGTTTCGGACGACATGAGTGGGAGTGGCCAATGGGCAGACAATGGCCTGGCACAGGGGGGTGAGAAAGACCACGAGGGGCCACAAGCATATTTCAGGACTTCGTCTCCGGTCAATAGCCACTTCACACATAGCAAAGTCAACTTGACCACAACTTTAAATGAGTGCTGCAGAATCACCTGAACACAAACGTCAGTCGGTCGATAAGTCCATAATAGTTACTTACGGTTTCGCGAACATATCGCAAACACTTGCGTCTGGCCCGGTCTACGGCACGCAATGCGCATCGCTCTGGAGGGCTGAACTGCAGCCTTTATGTGCATAATACAGCCCTTAGCAGGCCAAAGCGACGAGGATTAGACACAACTTGTTTTGGCGGATGGGTGCATTCGTGAAAAAAACGGCATGGTGTCCTGCTCAAGTTGTCTAATGAATCTATCTATCCCGGAAAGTCAAGTTAAAAGCACAATGGTGACGCAAGTCTTCCGTCCTCAATGGTCGGGATTCTGACTTGCGCAACGGTATCGCCCAACGCCGGTGTGGAGACTGTGTCCCTAGCCATTAGGTCGAAGTTACGTCAGAACTATGGAAGATAGAAACTGGTACGTCTTCCTGCCACATTTGTCCATCACTAACGTCAAAGGGGTGGTAACACTCGAAAAACGGCGACATTGTTGTGAGTTCCATGGGCTGACGCTTGCACGCTGTACGCGGGCATATCCTAGTCACAGAAAAAGGCCACCGACTTTACTGAGACATGGCACGTCCCTAGTAGTCGTTAAGTGCCGAACAGTCTCATCGATATAATATCCGTGACAGTAATATAACAGACTGACGTCGTCCACCAACTCCAAACTACGATTACAACTCCATGGGTAGGGGAAGAGATAGTGAATGGGGCTATGTAAACTCTCAGTTCAGGAGGAAGTCAATCGAGATCCAGGAATGAAAAAAAACCTAGCGGAGCATTCGGACGAGGCAGCTAAGCTGTTGACATGTTTACACGTAGGGTTTGAAACGTCGATAAGCTCTCTAAAAATCCCTAGATACTGACTGGACCTGGTCATGAAAGGTTCAGAGAAATAGATGCGGAACTTACCTCTGAACCCGTATAGACGACCGACAGGATTTGTCCAGGGACGTGGCCCTTCCAGAGGCCGACAAGACCTTCTTCCTGGATTATCCTACGAAAAGCTTGAGAAACGCTCTGATAGTAACCACCATTTGTGCTTGATATATTCTCAACTTGAAGCTACAAATGAAGGTTAAAAGACATATACTACATGAGCGGACTGCAATGAGGCTGAAATTTAAATTTTGAAAATTCTAAAGTCAAGACAGAAAAGCAGGTCATACGAATAGGAAAACTACACTGATGCGTTAAAAAAACCAGGCGAAATTAAGGGATCATTCAACACATGGGTATATCACAATTCGGTGAGGCCGATCTAAAGGGACCACGCCCACCTGGTACACAAGCAAAAGATGAATTAAGCGCCAACAAGGAAAGCTCGGAGAACTGTGAGGAATAGTCAAGAGTGTTATGCTTTTAGCAGCAAGCTGTATAGTGAAGTGGCTATCAAGTTATAGGCAAAGGTCTGATCAAGTTACTGAGGGATCTGAGGAGGATGTTGTCCCAGGAGCTGAATTTAAAACTTCAGAGGTCTGCTCGACTTGCAAACTGCTTTTCGTAAATGGGGTTAACGCCATCCCCGTCTTGCATAACGTGTGACGTCCCAATCTTAGCAATGACATTCTGACGGATTTACCAGAGTTTCTTTGCCAAAATGGGTGTTAAATCTGGACTGTGCAGTCGCGCATCTTCGAGGTCATCCTACTCTAAACTAAACTAGACATAGAGGTCTAGTATATCGTAAAAATATTGACTATTTTGCAATGAAGTTTTATTTTTGCGACGAAATATACGCCAGGTGAGGTTTTATTGTTTCTGCTCCCGATCTTCAATTTTCAAAAAACGCGTGATCCCCTGACACTTCATATGATCTGAATGGAGGGGACGTGGGCCCCGCCTAACCCCCGTGGCAGCCTCGCGTACGAGGGGGCCAGGAACTAGCAGGGAATATACAAGGGCAAAGACGCAAATATTTAAATCTAGTCTTATATGACCATGAGTAAGACATGCAGAGCGGTGCCTTATTTCAAAAACAGAACAGACTCAAGGATACTATCGCAGGTAAAACCAAAAAAGTCATTACTGGATCAGGAATCATCGGGGAAACTGCCCTTGCCCACCTGAAATCTTATTTTAAGAACATCCAACGGTTGAGTAATAGCACGGACAGTAAATCCAGACAACGATCCTGCCAGGGCGTCGCTGGAATCCCCACTCATTAATAAAGGGCACGCACCGAGGCGCGGTGACCGAAATCATCTGCACGCAAAACAATTTAAGCACACATTCTGAAGCATATTAAAACCACAATCAAAGTTAGCAAAAGTAAAGAGGAAGTGCGGCAGTTTCTATATACTTGGATGATTTTCGTCATCTTTAATTAATTTCCAATCGATGAATGCACTAAGGTCAATGAATTGTGGATTATGATGTGCAGTAATTATTTTCTTTAGCTCATTTTGTAGTAAAATATATCTCTTCACCCCATTACAATCATATGGAAACAGTGTACAGTCAAACATGGCAGTGATTAAAAATCGATAATACTGGGACCAGAACAAAATCACTACAAGGGTAGAGAATACTTTCACCAAAGAGAGATGACGAGTCGACTCGTAAATTAGGTAATGGTCTGGTCGCTGCTGATAAATAGTTTCATGAAAACTGAGTCCGGTAGACAAGGCGTTCACAGCATCCATCGTTTTTCCTACGAGTCACAAATCGAAGTGCTCTCTTTCGCTTTTTACAGCCTAGTCGATTATGTACGATACAAACGTACTGAGGCTGGCGAACCAGGGCCAGAAGCACCAACATACGCGCCGCATGTATCGTAACTGCCCACGCATATTTAACAGTTCGAACGCCGTCGCCGATGTTACCGACCGTGTGCTCATCAATAGGATAAGGACGAGAACGACGACTAGCGCGTGATACAGCGTGGAGTTATCAGGCTTTCACAGCATCTACCTGTCTAGCTCCTCACCGGAATTCTGGGTCCAGTGCAAAGACAGATGGCGAACACGAAGGGCAGGACATAGGAATATAAAACGTCAAGACAAACGCTTTCATCGATGTTCAGTACTAAGAGACCTGGTGTTAAACCAGCAAGAGGTCATGGTTATAAATCCGACGTCAAGGCCATATGTCTGTGAATATGTGGCAGCGAGGGAAACATGTGTAGCATAACAAATGAGCAACTCAAAATCTGGACCATGTGTCGGAGATGCACTTTTAGAAGCCGCTGCGATTCGTGGAGGTTTTTGCGTCCACATCACAAAAGGGGATTCTAGTGACAATCTGTGGGTAACGAAAACTGGCAACAGGTAAAATATGACACTCACGGAGAATAAGAAGGGGCTGTCTAGGCAAGAAGCAACCGACGCATTGCCTCCCTTTTAGGACGCCTTTTGTCAGTCGATAGCCGTTAAAACCACGCCAAACTACAAGCACACCACTAAACTTAGTCCACCGATCAGGCCTTAGCTGAGGCGCCTCTCTTTCAGCTGAAATGAGTCATTGAAGCGCACACACACACGTTCCTCGCTCACGCGCGTCGGACTGCCTGGCTTGATACCCCTCTAACTTTGTTATTTCACTCCCCGGTTCCTCCCCTAAACGGATTCATGTTCAGTTCAGTTCAGTTTATCGACGGAAATAGGCATAAGCCTTTGAGTACCCTATTTGCAGCGTAAAAACTGTGTGCTATTCAGATAAATGTTCTAGGCTGAAATAATTCAAACACGCCCATAATGGTGGGACAAAGTGAGAACGAGTTACAGGGAGTGGCTCTACTTCTCATTGCTCTTGGTCATTTCGGAACATAAATATGTCAAGATACTTCTTTAAACTTCGTGTAGATGGTGACATCACAACATCTGCGGAAAGGACATTCCATGGTTTGACCACTCCAACAGACGAACTTCCGCACATCCAGCCTTGCCATTAATTAACATAACATTCCCTCACGCTGGCATGCTCATGCGACATCCACGTAAACAACTCACCGCGACCTCAACTCTCCCGAAAGGACGCTTTTTTCTGTCACGCAAGCAAAGAACCAATTGATGGCAACCTGCCTTATATACAGAATAGACTGGCTCACAGCTTTTGACTTCTGACATTAAGCAGAGCCAACTTATTGTGTGGCTAAAGTTGATTTCACCTCGTTAACCGCCATGGGTGCAGGGGCTTTAGAACCTGAAACAAGACAGCAAATATAGCAATTGTGACATGCGAAATATATCTAGATTGCCGATACACCTATAGTAAGTCGTAAAGGAAGTTCCTGATGAACAATGTATAGCGATACTTAAGTTAGTGTTGATACAGAGATATAGAACCTTTTAAACACTGGGCGATTAGATACTTGCCGGATGTAGAGAGAAGGTTACTCCAAAAAAGACGAACATGCAAGTTATTTGGGTCGGGGAAATGGATAGAAAAATAAAGGATAATGAGTGGTTGTTGATGAAAGAACAGTCTACCGGGACAAAAGTTACAGTTCTAGAGATATTTTACGATTGCTAATGCAAAAAACAGAGACAGTGACCGACCTCTGTTCATGTAATGCATGAGAATTAAGGGTTTGTTAGCTTGTAACTGCAAGTAACTGCTTGTAACTGAATTTAACTCCGGGAACAATTCTGATATGTCTAACCTTCTCTCTTTACTCCTGTGCAGGGTTGGACTGAGTGAATATTCGTCTTGGCATAATAATCCTTCAGGAAACGCATTCGAGGAAATACACCTTTCATCTAAGAGTCTGAGTCCATTAGCCGACGAGGTTGTCCAGCTTAATCGTACCCCCTTTTTCCAGATGGTGCAATGGGCCTTATAATCCTATAGGATGTGTTTGTGACTCAAGATGACATCAAATAAAACGATATTTAATGGGGGAGAATTCAGGTTGCAGTCGGATGAAGCAAAGATCAATCCAAACATCTTCGTGGTGAAATCGTGAGGATCTTCGGACAAGCGCAATAATAAATCTTACGAAAGAGCTAGATCACTATTTGAACAACAAATTTAACATCCATTGGAAGCATATATATGAAGGAGGAATGTTGTCTTGCGGAATCTGATAATTAGGATTAGACATGAATGCAGGGTGCTCAGGGACCTTTGCTAGCACTTGTCCCCATCCAAGGTCCGGGCCGTATTATGCTAGGCGCCGTCATAACTCAGTTCGTAGGCCAAATGTTGGGAAGTGTTCACATCCGCGTGTCCTATCCCTAAGGCCCAATATCAACTTTAACTTTAATCCTGACTGTATCTAAACTCAAAGCTTTACTGTGATCTGCAGGAATTCAGTGCAAGACCACATTTAAAGGGGATGATCCCAATTATAATTCAGTATAATTCAGTATCTATGAGGGATAGAGGAAGAGCTATAGAAAACCCTATTGACAGATAGACGTATGAAAAAAAAGATACACATATTAACATAGCAGTTATGCTAGCCATTGATATCATGTAAATGTTTGACCATCAAGCATAAGTTTATCTAGTCTTCTTTTGAAATTCTCGACGTTTTCAGCTAAGACAACAGAGTTCGGCAATTTGTTCCATCCCTTAACCAGTCGGTGAGAGAAGAATTTGGCCCGCAAATCGAGTCTGGCATGCTTCGTCTTCAATTTGTATGGGTGCCCTCGGAAATTTGTCGTCCGCGCCAGTTCGAAGAAGTCGTCAAACTAAAGAGCACACTCTAGCCCTCGGACGATCCTGAAGGCCATGATCATGTCACCTCTGTACTGTCTATAAGAGAGAGGAAATATTTTTAGCTTCTCCAGCCGTCTCTCATAAGGTAAGCCACATAATCCGCCGACCAGCCTGGTCGCTCTACGTTGTACGTTGTCTAGTACGGTGTAATCTTTTTTCGTCCAGGGACACCATGCCTGGACAAAATATTCCAACATTGGTCGAATGTATGCGCCAAATACTCGGCCGAAAAGTTCTTCATCAAAATTGACGAAGGATCTTCAAATCGCGCCTAGAATACCCATAGCTTTTTTTGATACCTTGGCGCAGTGAGAGGATGGTTTGAGAGTTGACGTCATCCACACACCGAGGTCTCTTAACTCGTTGACTGTTTCGAGTCGGTGACCTCCTATAAAGTACTGAGATTCAATTCTCAACGGCCTCCTGTTACTCGAACGTAATCGATCCCGTGTCTTTAATTTTCAACATGACTAAATAACAACAACGTAAGTCTTCGTGGCGCCGACAGCGTGTGCACGATCCATGCGTATATCATCCTGTAGAAACAATCGTACGAGTAAACTACTTCCCGGAGATTTCAACAGGTGGCACAAGTATTATTAATCAGTTATGCTAAAAAAAAACAAACGTCCCCCTCCCTGACTGGGCCAAGGCTCCACTCGCCCCAGTTAAGTTCAGTGCTTAGCATGAGTACATATGCTAGCTGACAACTCTGTTCCGAGTTCGGGGCAGGTGGTTGCGAAACGTGTCTTACAATACACTCGTCCATAAATCTTCGATTATTATTATTATTATTATTATTATTATTATTATTATTATTATTATTATTATATCGAATTTCCACGAATAACGACGTTTACACTTGTCCAAGGCGCTCCTGGACTAATAGGGACATTAGCTGAAAAGCCACTATGGCTTCGCAAACCTGGAATTAAACCACGCAAATTAATGCCTGAAATGTCCTGAGGCTTATTGGAATACATAGCTAAACTCGTTGTCAGTGATCTGCAATTTGAAGAAGAGGAAATTCTCTCAATAGTCGCTACCTAGTGCATCGGCGAGCGACGTGAACTTTTCGGATAATCAAACACTGATCCGAAAGAACCAACGGTCTATTGGCATTTGAGGCATCCTGTGTACGTTATAGAAGCTTGCATGCGGAGACGAAGAAGAAGATTAAGAGCAGGTCATCATGGGACAGACTCGAAACAGCAGTCCGCACTAAAACCCTATTTCTTATCCGTGAGTTGGATTCGATATTCTCTCGATCCCTCGAGAAAATGCGGAATAGGCCGTCGTAAAGCGATTGGAATTATCTGCATAATTGGTTACAACAAGGAGACATGCCAACATAATTTCTCAAGTCCGTCCTGAGATATGGTTCATAAACGAATTTCCTGATGGTGGTGGTGGTGGTGAAAACCCTTGTCAAGGGCTTATTGTGGACCAGGGGGTGTAGGGAGGAGCATCAAGATGCGGACTCAGCCGCACCATCCATCTG